TTAGTTAAGTTTTATGTATTTGGCTTCAGCTTCATGGGCAATTTTACAAGAAATGTAATAGGTGTAGGTTTTCAAAAGGTTGCAGCATTTACTTGGTCTTTTTTGAATTGAAGTAGATAAAGAGTAGGTTGTATAAGTTTAGGTTTAAATAGAATATTAGAAATAGGTACTAAAAAGTGCAAAAATGATTGTTTGAAGAAGAATTCAGATAAGTTTTGAGTATCATGTTTCTTCTCTGGTAGAAGAGTAGAACAGCCATAGACTGTGCATGTATGGATATAATATAATGCTACTTTAAAGTATTGTTGAGATTGGTTTTGTAGAGAGCTTATGGTGAAGATAGAGGAATCTTTGTATAGAAGTGCTTTGCATGTATGAGCTACTTTAAATACAATTTAATGCTTAATATAGTTAACCCTAGCTTTAATCTAAACCTAATTAAAAGTTTTATTTTTTGTAAAGATTAGATTATATGTATACCAATTTTGTATTTACATATAGGGTATCACTACAGTACTATAGCACTATAATAATGTTTCTTTATTATATTTTCTATTTATAATAATTTATATAACTATTATATAATGAAGATTTTATATATTTTTATTTATATAATTTATTACCATTTATAAAATTATGTGTAATATAAAATCAAACAATAAAAAAAGAAATTGCAATTTCTACCTCCAGATATCAAAAAGTGCTTCAAAAGAGATATTGCTATTATATAAACCTTCTTTTAGTCTTAATAAATATTGTTTATCAAGACTTTCTGGTTCTTATAATAGTAAAATCATTAAAATTGAATAATAATTTTTTTAAATATAAATAAAAGTTAACTAACTTCAAATATAAATATCTTAGAAACTACTAGTTTGATTTTAATAATTTTACTACTATTAGAACCAGAAAGGTTTAATTAACAACTTATTAAGACTAAAAAGAAGGTTTTCTTAATAACAATATATTTTCTGATGCATTTTTTTAAATTTTGAGGGTGAAATTAGCAAAAATAAGGTAGAAATAGCAATTTTTTAAAAAAATCATATATTAATAATTTAAGGTTAAAGTTAGTATTAGACTAAAATTGAATATAAGTTTAGAATAATAAGTTTTTAATCTAAAATTTTGCAAATAATTTTTTTAATTAAAATACAAATGTGGTTTTATAGGCAAAATCCTGAGTTATAAATAATTTTTGACAAAATGACTATTTGTTTTGCTATTTTGATTATGCTATATTATACTAGATCTTGTATTCTAATTAGTCAATCAGAGGTAGTGATAAATTGCTATTTCGATAAATTACAATATCTATATAATAATTATATTTGACAAAAAATACAAATTTCTATAAAGAATATAATGTAAACTAGTTAGTCTTGTTTTAAATAGAAAAAAATTCTTAATATTATAATAAATATCACAGATCATAATGAAATCAGATTAAAATAAAATAAGAAATTTCTATTTGAACTTTTAAAACCTACTTATACTTGTTTATTATATATAACTCCTGCTTTTAAACCTTAATTCTATTCTAATCTCAAAAAAATACTAAAGAAATACACACCAAAATTTGTATTTTTGGTAACTTTTTTATTTTACACTATTTCTCATTTTATTTTTTTTTGATTTTATTTAATCTGCTATATTTATTTTGATATATATTTTCGCAATACTCTAGCTATATATATTTATATATATTGAGCTGATATCTTGTATAAAATTTAATAAAGATGTTATTAGATATCAAGATAGCTACTTAAATATTGTTTGTAATTAAACCTTGCAATATTAGAGTATTAGATATATTAATATCATTTATGAAAAATATTTGCAGGAGTGTTGCTAGGTCTGGCAGTTAGATATTTTGCTTTGTGGAATATTTTGTTATATAATTTGATGCAGAGGTATTAGATTTACAAAATTTTGCAAATTACAATAATTGATATAAATAATTAAAATCAGTTAGGTTTTAAAATTTTTTAATATAAAAAACTCTTATAAGATAGGATTAAATTACTTATAGATACCTGACTATATTGGGTTCTGGCATTTTTATTAGACTTAAAGTATCATAATTTTTCAATATTAGTCATACAATTTAGCCAGCTCTACAGAAAAAAACCTTTGCAGATCTTAACAAGGTAGAGAGCAGTGAGGCCCAAAAAATATACTACTTCTATTGCTATTTAAAACTCTATATGAGAACAGCTGTAAGCAATGATGGGCTTACTAGATTATCCAAACAACAAGTTCTAGAAAAGTTAATCACTACTACAGTAGATATTCATACTCTTGCAAGATCTATTACATACTATAAATTACTACTACAATTCAAAGTATTATTAAAACAAATTCGTCTTGACTATAATCAATATTATTACTCAGAAGCTGAAAACTTCTTAATTAAGTACCTTAAAATCTCAATTCCAGCACAATATGATGATGCACTTTTTGTCCAAAATATTGATACATTTATTTCTCATAGAAATGAAGAAGATATCTTAATATTTCAAAAAGAAAATACTAATACACTTACTCCTCATAGAGATGATGGAGATACCTTGACATCTCAAAAAGAAACTGAAGAAATATACAATAACACATCCTCTGCCTCTTCTGAGAAAATTAATAAAAATCTTTTTCAATAGTGTCTTCTATAGACTATATTAATTCAGCTGCAATAAAGGACAAGTATAATTTGGTATCCTTTGCAGCTGTATATGCTGAGCCCAAAATGATAAGTGAATCTGTAGAAGACAATATATTAGAGCCAATTGCAATGTCTTCTAACTTCTTTGATCCTAATACTTGCTACAATTTATTTTTATATAAATATAATATACCACTTTTATATCATTTACAAACACTATATACATTTATTCAATACTTACAATACCACAACTTTACTAAACCATTCAAAGTATCTATTAATCTCACTTATACTGAAACTCATGTCTACACTAACTATAATGACATTTTACTTCCTAACCATACTCTACTTACCTATCACCAATACTCTAAATATAACCAATTACTTTTAAAATCTTCTTCTAATCATTTTACACCCCACATTCATGAATCTGAATATACTTTAATCTCTACTAATATTCCCCTCAATACTAACTATCAACAAACTCAACATACACTATCTAATAGTATACAAGATCCTACATTTAAACTAAATATAGCAACACATAATATACAAGGATACAATGTGCATGAAAAAAGACTATTATAGGAAGACTACTGTTTAACTAACAACTTACATATTATTAGCCTAATGGAAACCAAAATTGCTAGCAATATACCTACAAAATTCTTTAATACTCAACAATACAGATACTATTGGCTAACTCACCAACAGCCAAAGAAGAAACATGTATAATACTATACAATTATATCTAACCCTATATACACAAAATACTTACCCACTCAGGAGGAGCAATTGCTATTGACTTATTCTTTAAATATAACTACAAACTCAGAATCAGCTCTGTTTACCTCTCATCAACTAATAGTGCTAACCGAAAACTTACACAAGAGACAGCTATCATATGGGTACAGCAAGTACTATCACATAATCTACAACCTATTATCTTGGGTGACTTCAATACCAACAATAACATCACTATTTCATCTGCAGCAAAATTTCAACTTCTTAACTTCCTACACAACACCAATATGTACGACTTAGCAAGCTATACAAACAATCTACAAAATACCTGGCACAGTACTAGATACCAAAGTAGAATCGATTATATTTGGGCAAATGATATTCTTATACCCTACTTACAGTCTTTTAAAATTGATAATCAACTATTTTCAACCCATAGTGATCACAAATCCTAATATCTAACTGGATGCTTCTCTTTGCATTAGCTAAAATCAACTACAAGTCTAAATGCAAATGTAGAATATATGAATATAAACAAATAACCAAAGAACAATAGGAAAATTTTACTGACCAGATCAATTCCAATA